TTGCTTCTCTAGAACTTACCTTAATTCTCTTCGAGGCCATATTGATACGTGCATGCATGAACATGATTAAAACCATCTTTGTTACATAAGTTAACCACCTTAGCCAAATAACCTACCCGATAATTAATTTTTCCCTTTGTTGAACCCCTTTGAGCCTTATAGCCTTTTCTTTTGTAAACCCATATTACAAGCTTTAAATCTAAAAAAACAATGTCATTAGCTAGTGGAGTATTGTTCATCGTTTTGATTTATATGGGAGTGCGAAAGAAATAAGTGTGGGAGTATCTAAAATTTTAGTAAGATTATAATGATGGAATGAAACACGTTCTCAAATTAAAAAAAAAAAAAAAAAAAGAACAGAGAGAGAGAAGTGATGAAGTTATATTCCCGATTTTTCTTAACATAACAAGAAAAGGGATTGGGTTGTATGAAATAGATGCAAAGAAGCTATAATTGGGGAGATTTGATCTTAAATGTTTCACATATACATTTAAGCTGAGTTAATTCATCTTTACTCATCTAGTTTCAATGGCTTTTGAGTTACATATCCAAATATTTCCCACCTTAACCTTAAGCCACGTTACAACCCATGTAAAAAACCTTATGATTTGTGCAATGCATGTGATCTAATTGGAGGAAAATGAGAAGATATGCAAGTATATGGTAGATCATTTCCATTGTAATGAACTTGAGGGAAACACTTACCCATGAGAGTTGAGTGCTTATATCCCGTGAGGGTCTACATGTTTGGTTTACTCTATCTTTATATGACAATGCTTGCTAATTGATTATGAGTTGTGTGAGAATGTTCGGTCATGATATATTGTGCTTTGATGAGTTTGATTATTTTTTGTTGATGGTATTGCAACCTTAATATTTTTGTGAAAGTAAGCTTAAGTTTTACTCGAGGATGAGCAAAAGCCAAGTATGGGGGAATTTGATAAGACATGAAATCTCGTGTTTTACATCCATTAATACTTACACTTTTATGATTAATTGATGCCTAAATGTACTTAGTACCCTTGTATTTTAATTTAGGTTGCAACTGGATGGAAACCTTGAAAGTTGGGAGAAAAGAGCGAAAAGGGACCAAAATGGAAGCAAGTGAAAGTTTAGGGACCAAGTTCAAATAATCCATAGATGTGACAATTATGAAATGAAGATTCAAGAGTGTTGGAGGTCAATTCGATAAAGAAAAAAGTCAAAGAGGTGAAATATAATTGAAGTAATATCATGTATCAACTTTCAGGCGAAAAAGCGATGCTTGAGATTTTTAGTCTCTACTTGAGACCCATTTTTGGCACAGTAAATAACCATAACATCCTATTTCTATCAAAACTGTAGATCTTTAAGTTAGCTTCTCAATGCAACTCGAATCACCTCAATCGGACATCGGGAAAGAAAGTTATGACCAAAATACTAGAAGTTGTCCGGCGAGAAAACGATTAAACTATGCGGTCGTATAGTTCAAAATCAATACGGTCTCATAGTAATCTCTAGGGAACTTCAGAGCTAAAATTTATTGTTCTATACACTACAATCCTTATAACTATGCGGTCACATAGTTATATTTCAACACGTGATTTTTACTTTTCTAATTTGAATCAAATACTTATGGAAACAAATCTTGTACACAATATATAAGCCCCAGAACTTGTCCAAAACCTAGAGGACGCCCCCCCCCCCTTTCCAAATCACTCTTCTCTTTTTTTGTGCTCTAAAATTGAAGAGCTCTAGCTAATTTTTCTTACTTGATCAAAGGGGATGAAACCCTTGGAACAATTACCTGTGAGATCCACCTGGTTTTTTTTTTTTTTTTTTTTTTTATGTAAACTCTATTTTAAATTCTATTCAAGTAGAAATAGAATAAAAAAATAAAATCGATAAATTCTAAAAAACATAAAATTTGAAAAATAAAATATATCATTCTATAAAATTAAAACTAAAATCCTCAAAAAATAAATTATAAAACATTCTAGAAAAAAAATTTAAAAAACTATATATATTTCTGACTAATGATTATTTACACAAAATTTTTTGAAAAATATTTGAATGAACATAGACAAAAATATTTTAAATCCACGTTATTAATTATTTATTTTTATTTTCTACATTTTAAAATTGTTACGGTGCACACTAGTTAATTATTTTCTACAATCTATAGCTAAGTTAAACTTTAAATCTGTAATTGTTTGATTGATTTAACTTGTGAAGCAATTAGGATTAGTAATTTGATGCTTTGGAAATTATTTAATCTTAGGAAGAATATTTATCTAGGTTAAATGCAACCGCGTGTGTTTGTGTTATTTAGTTCATTGATTTCTCTAGTTCATAAAGTGGTTATTGAATTAAATCTTCGCGCTTGCTTGGGATTGTTTGATAACTAGGATTAATTAGATCACTTGTTTCTAATTAACTAAAACGAAGAAGAAATAGAAAATTGTTTCGCGAGGGAAATTATTTTCCACAATGAATGCTAAAATTATGATGATTATCTGCAGATCAATGATCGGTTATGAATTTTCAATTGTAGATGTTGACTTAGATCAAGGTTCGATATATTGATTTCATTTAATTCATTGAATTGCATTGCTATTAGTTATTTTTATTGATAATTAATTGTTTCAAAACCAAACCCCCCCTTTAGTTAATATTGCATAAAAAATAAACTAAACACTCTTCGTGGAGATCAACCCCTTACTTCCAATATTACATTAGTTTTAAAAAGTATAGGTTTTAATTTGGAGTGCCTACGACAGCACGCACCAAAGGATCTTGAAAATGGTGTTTTACGGGCTCGATCCACAACCACTATATTTACCTCGGTTGCTTTACAATCTCATCCATAGAGGACAAGATAACAGTGATGATTTGTAGCTACAGAGGCAAGGGAAAATTTAATGGAAGAAGACGCAAGAAGGAGACAAAAATTCACAAAGAAATCTCTTGGTTTTGGCTACCATAAAGGTGCCATTTTTCTCCACTTTCTCCCACACATTTCTCACCACTTTTCTCACACACAAAGGGCACCAGAAAATGGCCTAGGTTATAATCTTATAAATAGGCTAGGGTTAAGCTTTAAGTTGGACCAATAAGAAAGTTAAACGAGTCAAGATTCAAGTTATCCTAGGGAGAATACAGTTGAACCGGGTAGAGCTCATAAACTTGGTTGCTGGTATTTATTTCATTCATCATCCTAGGTCTATGAAATATATTATCCCACATTAATATCATAGCCTGGAATTTATTAAGTATCAAAAACCCGACAGAATTTGCAGCAAGTCAATTAGCGCCATGAACAGATGCACAGGCAGCTTCCCCAGCAGCTAAGAGTTCTATATTATATGATCAAAAGTAAAAATTTCAGCATGAATTTGTACCCCGCCATGGTGATTTGTGGGGATCCCACCCATGTTATAATGGACAGTAGGTAAAACAGGGAAGCAGTAGTTTCGGATATTCCAAGAAGTCTCTCCTTGAGAACCTCAGGAGGTAAGTGATTTAAGTGAAGATAGATATGATCTTTCTGGATCCTATTGAGAAACAAAAATAACCAGTTAAATGATGTATTAGTGGTAAAAATCAATCCTATGAACTCCGCTAGCTGCCGCATATTGTTCTCCAATAGATGGTTATTCATTTCTCTAAGCTACCAGCCATACACATATAACATTATTTCTGAATAAACCACCACCCAATATCATATATCATTCACCTATACACAATATAAAGGAGCACATTTAAGCTTACTCAAGGCAAATGCTAACTTAATAATTCATAAGATCTACTAATCATACTATGACAAGAATGATTTAACAAGATGGTGAATTCTGATATTATAACGAATAGAGATTTGAAACTTAGGGAAACCAGCACCATGTTCATGAGGTACTGCGACAAAGATTACGTGGAAGTAAATTTATTTTCTTTTCTTTGAAAAATCAAAATTATTTATTACAGGAAAGAATAAAAGCCTTAATAAAATATATTAAGAAGAGTGAAAGAAGTATCAAAAAGTCAATCCGAGTCCAAAAGAACTTTGAATTGATTGATTATTACAATTGAAAAGAAAGAAAATAAGACTCCTAGTTCACCAGGAAGGATTTCTTCATTTTGAATGCCCTCCACTATTTTCCCCTAAAACAACTCACCCTAGACGTGGAAGTGACTCTTCGAATACCAAAACTTAACACATTCAGATAAACAAAATTTTAAGGTACACAAAAGATTGTAAATGTAGTCATACTACACCACACCCTTCTTGGATCTCCATTGTCATAGATCTCGAGACGACGTCTCTTGATGCAAGATCCTTAGCTGTTGGGGCATACTGTTCCATGAATCTTTCGCCTTCACTATTCTTAAGAATACCACCTTCACCCCTAGACCCTGAACATGGAGAAACAAACATTGGAAATGAAAGCATCTGTTAATAAGTAAAGTTAGAGTTGTAGGTTTATATAGATCAAACCAAGATAGATAGGCACAGACCTTCAGTAATGAGACAGCCTGCACCACGTATACTAGTTGGATGAAATTGGACAAACTCCTGCAAAAAGAAAGTCGATATGCTATAGCAGAAAACACTAATAAAAAAGAGAGAGATTCATTTAATTGAATCAACCCATTATGTAAACATAATAAATAACAATAAAAATACATTTATATCGTCAACTAGTAAAGTTGACTCCGTCATTACATCTTCAAATCACTTTCCAGAGTTCGGTATTGTCTTCTTCCCTATTGTGTAACTATCATCACTTTCTAGCATTCGGTATTGTTTTCTCTCCTATTGTGTAACTATCTCTAAAAAAGAAAAAATATTACAACAAACATAGATGAGTTAGTGTACTTTAGCAACATCATAAAATACAAACTTGGACTTAAGGAATTTGATCCATTCATTGAATGCTTTCTGCCTTATAGGGTCGATCATGGAAGAGATTGGGGAACGTCCTCTCCACTAATTCATTCCTTTTGCCCCAATTGTGAAGGGAGAAATGATGTAATGTGATGGCAATCTCAGCCTCTTGCCGACCACTAGCTTTGACATTTCAATAGCACGCTTTGTACACTTTTGTCACCTTTAACACCCCTCCCACATAAAATAAAATCCTCCATCATGTTGGGCGTACTCTTCTCCTTCTTCATCCCCTCCGGTACTCTCTCTATCACATCGTCCACCATTCCATCTGTGTTGAATTCGTTACTTCCTCTGTCCCAGGTGCCATAAGATCTTCTATCAAATCCTTGATCTTAAGCACCATTACTCCTCTGTTTGTCGGACAGTTACCGACTTCATCACCATTGGGGCCATACGTTTCATCCTAGAAACCTACGATCTTTTTTCACGCCCCCTGTCCTTGGCATCATCTCATAATCTGTCACCTCGATGGTTAGTAGGTCATTACCATCGGAGCTATCCCCTACATATACCCTTCAACACTGGGACCTTTTCCTCCATAGTTGCAAAAATGATTCGAATGCAATGTCCAATGGCCATGATGAATCATCATACCCTATGAGACCTTCTCTTCCAGAGCCTCCACCACCCCTCCATCTTAAATATCCCTAGTCCCTCCGGTACTCGCACCGCCTATCTCTTCGCCATCCCCTTGTGGGCTTACTACATTACCTCGTATCGCTGTGACCTCATTAGTCTCCTAAATCGGCTCGTATGTTCTAACATCATGTCATAACTTCGTTACTTCACCTCTCATGTCCTGTCGCGATGCCCCTATCATCTCTTGCAGCGCTCCTATCTTTTCTCTGATAATCTTAGTTAGATTACAAACAAATCATCAAAATAATTACGCTGACTGGGTGCAAGAGATTCATGGGTAAAATCTCCAAATATGGGAAAAGGAGATCTCCTCTGTGACGGTGATTTTATTGACAAAATTGATCTCCTCGGTGAAGGTGATGGTTGATCCACTGGACGGTGTTCCAATTATAGTATTAAATGATGTGTTAATGAAATGTAGAATTAAATTACTTATTTCATTTAACCTATTATTTAATATCACATGAGCGCCACGTAAAATCGGGTCATAGTTTCAGTAGGACTAAATAGCATTACTCTTTCATAGGTCTCTCTCAAGATCACTATGGATCTCAATTGAACTATTTATTTCGATGGCGTGGAACTTTTACTTAAAAATTACCTTTCAACAACTTCACGAAAATAGTCAACTACGATTAGGCTGAATGAAGACTTGCATCCACATCTCTACCTTGATTTTGCAGATTGGATCCATTAAAAAAGAAAAATATAACCATATGATCTAATGTTTTGTCCGTGAAAATATTTGAATCTTGTTCTACTATCTTGGGATTTTACATATGTTGAGAAAAATAAGTTTATTAATTTTGTTGATTGGACTGGTGTAGGTGGGGTGAGCTGGAGAGTGGGGAGACCACAATAGCATTAACACCTGCACACCAACACAAGATGGATGATTTGAATGGCGAGGTGCGTATGCCGCAATCTAGCCATGAGAGGAACCCGATCGAGGTCTGTTTTGACCATTCCGATGTGGATTTCGCCTACAAGGTATGGTACAATTATTTCCACCTTTTTAAGAAATAAACATAACTTCCTTCTGAAGATTTTTTTACTAATTAGGCACAATGTGATGTTTTTATATTGTTATTTGTGGGTGGATCAGAATGCTGTAGAGAACAGTGCCGTGCTAGTTAGTGAGCCCGAGGAGAAGGAATGGGGACAAAAGCTAATGTACGTTCAAGATATTGACGGGATTGTGGTGAGGATGGGGAGCTTAATTTTTTAATTCTATTACAGGAGTTTAATTTTTTCTTCCGTCGCATTTATGTTCCTATCATTTCTTTATCGCTCATCTTCAAATTTTCATTAATTAACATATTTTATCCCTTTTAATGGTTTACGCTCAGATATTCTATTAGCTTGGTTTGAAATGGGAGACAATTTTTATGTTGTACTTTATATTGGTTGTTTTATAGTTAGATATAAAAATGAAATACGAAGGGCTGACATGAAGGGTTGATGTGAGATACCATATTGCTAAGTATTTTATAAATTATCTAAACATAAACTTATTTGGTTTGGTAAAAATTAAAATTTAATTAACTTTTACTATAAGTTTTGAGGGATACACAAGTTTTCAACCATATATTTCATCAAGTTTTATTAAAAATTTTGATTTTAATCTCTACCAAAAGAGTAAGAATTTGCGAAATTCGGAAAAGAAAAAAAGTAGAAGAAACCAATTGGGACAAAGACTAGATTGGATTCTGCAAAAGCTTTTGTTCGTTGTAGAAAGAAGATTAACAGGCTATTTGTTGCACATTTTATCAAAAATGAGAATGAGAATTCTTACCGTTGGACACATTTCTCATAGCAAAATGTGAGATGAGAGTCAAAGCATTTACGGCAAATGAGCCCTAGAAATGGCTATATTTTTTCTAAAATTGAGGAAAAATGTGCAACAAACAAGCTCTAAACCAACAAGGGGATGATGATCACCCCCACGCGCATTTTTGCAGTACGTAATATGCTACTACTTTATATGCGCTTATTTCTGGGATTCCAGACGATGTGCTTCAGTAAAAATTGTCTAACATTTGGCCAACACTTACTGTTTCAATGCAATACTTTATTTCAATTTACTTTCTGGTGTAGATCTCACATAAAATATTAAATAATATTATTAATGATCATTAGCTCCCATTATTTGATGTTAAAATTTTTGAAATAGTGTTTTTTGGAGAATATGTGATTGAAAAAGAAGGAAAAATTTTTAGTTTTACAAAGATCGTCCAAGTTAACGCGATATTTCAAATTTAGTTCAAGTATTTTTGCACTTTCTCAATTCTTAATTAGCAGTTAGTCGAGATTGCATAAAGTCAAATTTAAAGTTATTAAATTCACTCATTTGAACTTTTTTTATGACCAAAAAGTTTCGATTTCCATATTCAAGTAGGATTAATCAATATCCTTGAGCACGATTACCAAAAATATGAAGTTGAATTACAGGATGAAAATTGAAGTGAGGGACCAAGATGAACTTCCTCTAAATAAATCAAGGATCTAATTCCATTATATAATATAAATGTCCACTGGTTTATAAATTTTCATCATCCTTCTAAAATAACTCATCTGTCATGGATTCGTTACTTCCTTTGTCTCAGGTGCCATAAGATCCTCCATCAAATCCTTGATCTTATGCACCGTCACTCCTCTGTTTGTCGGACAATTACCGACTTCATCACCATTGGGGCCATACGTTTCATCCTAGAAACCTACGATCTTTTTTCACGCCCCCTGTCCTTGGCATCATCTCATAATCTGTCACCTCGATGGTTAGTAGGTCATTACCATCGGAGCTATCCCCTACATATACCCTTCAACACTGGGACCTTTTCCTCCATAGTTGCAAAAATGATTCGAATGCAATGTCCAATGGCCATGATGAATCATCATACCCTATGAGACCTTCTCTTCCAGAGCCTCCACCACCCCTCCATCTTAAATATCCCTAGTCCCTCCGGTACTCGCACCGCCTATCTCTTCGCCATCCCCTTGTGGGCTTACTACATTACCTCGTATCGCTGTGACCTCATTAGTCTCCTAAATCGGCTCGTATGTTCTAACATCATGTCATAACTCCATTACTTCACCTCTCATGTCCTATCGCAATGCCCCTATCATCTATTGTATCACTCCTAGATTTTCTCTGATAACCTTAGTTAGATTACAAACAAATCATCAAAATAATTACGCTGACTGGGTGCAAGAGATTCATGGGTAAAATCTCCAAATATGGGAAAAGGAGATCTCCTCTGTGACGGTGATTTTATTGACAAAATTGATCTCCTCGGTGAAGGTGATGGTTGATCCACTGGACGGTGTTCCAATTATAGTATTAAATGATGTGTTAATGAAATGTAGAATTAAATTACTTATTTCATTTAACCTATTATTTAATATCACATGAGCGCCACGTAAAATCGGGTCATAGTTTCAGTAGGACTAAATAGCATTACTTTTTCATAGGTCTCTCTCAAGATCACTATGGATCTCAATTGAACTATTTATTTCGATGATGTGGAACTTTTACTTAAAAATTACCTTTCAACAACTTCACGAACATAGTCAACTACAATCAGGCTGAATGAAGACTTGCATCCACATCTCTACCTTGATTTTGCAGATTGGATCCATTAAAAAAGAAAAATATAACCATATGATCTAATGTTTTGTCCGTGAAAATATTTGAATCTTGTTCTACTATCTTGGGATTTTACATATGTTGAGAAAAATAAGTTTATTAATTTTGTTGATTGGACTGGTGTAGGTGGGTTAACACCTGTGCACCAACACAAGATGGATGATTTGAATGGCGAGGTGCGTATGCCGCAATCTAGCCATGAGAGGAACCCGATCGAGGTCTGTTTTGACCATTCCGATGTGGATTTCGCCTACAAGGTATGGTACAATTATTTCCACCTTTTTAAGAAATAAACATAACTTCCTTCTGAAGATTTTTTTACTAATTAGGCACAATGTGATGTTTTTATATTGTTATTTGTGGGTGGATCAGAATGCTGTAGAGAACAGTGCCGTGCTAGTTAGTGAGCCCGAGGAGAAGGAATGGGGACAAAAGCTAATGTACGTTCAAGATATTGACGGGATTGTGGTGAGGATGGGGAGCTTAATTTTTTAATTCTATTACAGGAGTTTAATTTTTTCTTCCGTCGCATTTATGTTCCTATCATTTCTTTATCGCTCATCTTCAAATTTTCATTAATTAACATATTTTATCCCTTTTAATGGTTTACGCTCAGATATTCTATTAGCTTGGTTTGAAATGGGAGACAATTTTTATGTTGTACTTTATATTGGTTGTTTTATAGTTAGATATAAAAATGAAATACGAAGGGCTGACATGAAGGGTTGATGTGAGATACCATATTGCTAAGTATTTTATAAATTATCTAAACATAAACTTATTTGGTTTGGTAAAAATTAAAATTTAATTAACTTTTACTATAAGTTTTGAGGGATACACAAGTTTTCAACCATATATTTCATCAAGTTTTATTAAAAATTTTGATTTTAATCTCTACCAAAAGAGTAAGAATTTGCGAAATTCGGAAAAGAAAAAAAGTAGAAGAAACCAATTGGGACAAAGACTAGATTGGATTCTGCAAAAGCTTTTGTTCGTTGTAGAAAGAAGATTAACAGGCTATTTGTTGCACATTTTATCAAAAATGAGAATGAGAATTCTTACCGTTGGACACATTTCTCATAGCAAAATGTGAGATGAGAGTCAAAGCATTTACGGCAAATGAGCCCTAGAAATGGCTATATTTTTTCTAAAATTGAGGAAAAATGTGCAACAAACAAGCTCTAAACCAACAAGGGGATGATGATCACCCCCACGCGCATTTTTGCAGTACGTAATATGCTACTACTTTATATGCGCTTATTTCTGGGATTCCAGACGATGTGCTTCAGTAAAAATTGTCTAACATTTGGCCAACACTTACTGTTTCAATGCAATACTTTATTTCAATTTACTTTCTGGTGTAGATCTCACATAAAATATTAAATAATATTATTAATGATCATTAGCTCCCATTATTTGATGTTAAAATTTTTGAAATAGTGTTTTTTTGGAGAATATGTGATTGAAAAAGAAGGAAAAAATTTTAGTTTTACAAAGATCGTCCAAGTTAACGCGATATTTCAAATTTAGTTCAAGTATTTTTGCACTTTCTCAATTCTTAGTTAGCAGTTAGTCGAGATTGCATAAAGTCAAATTTAAAGTTATTAAATTCACTCATTTGAACTTTTTTTATGACCAAAAAGTTTCGATTTCCATATTCAAGTAGGATTAATCAATATCCTTGAGCACGATTACCAAAAATATGAAGTTGAATTACAGGATGAAAATTGAAGTGAGGGACCAAGATGAACTTCCTCTAAATAAATCAAGGATCTAATTCCATTATATAATATAAATGTCCACTGGTTTATAAATTTTCATCATCCTTCTAAAATAACTGTACATCCCTCGCGCTAATCTCAGGCAACTCCATATATCTCTCTCTAACTTTGCGTCCGAACTAATTTTTCAGGTATATCTATAGTCTCTAAATACGTATTATTCGATATGCTTTACCTAGAGGTAATTTTTTTTATTTAATATTTCTGTCCATATATTTTTAATATATATACTTAGAGTTGGAAATGTTTGTATAATGAAAGCAGCTTTTAACAATATGATTTAAATTTGTGGAACAAGGATACGAGTAATTGAGTATTGCTACATTTTTTTCTTTTCTTTTTTTCTTTTTTTATGATCTGATCTCAAGATTCAACGTTCAAACCTTTTCGATCTAGTGGAAAATTTCTTTTATTTGATGTAATTGTCTACCTGCTTGATTAAAAACAATATTTTTGAGAATGGAGAATTGGATTATTATTATTATTATTTTATGAACTAAAGTACTAAATTGAAATATGTTTTTAAGATAATGTAAATTAGGGAGTCGAAGTAAAGTGACTAGATAATATTTGAAAAAAGGGTTACTGGGGTCTTGGTGACAAAGAAAAATTGATTTAGACAATGAAGATTGGACATTTAAAGTACTAAATTTTTAATGACACAACAAAAGCTATCGAGAGAAAGATGAAATAATTCGACAAGCACTGATTGGAAGAAAAAAAAAAGTTAGAACTCAGTAATATTACAAACTATCCAACTCACAGAAAGTAACCCACCTAATGCATGTATAAACGAGGAAAAAGAAAAAGGGCACAATAATAAGAGATACAATTATAAAAAGGTAATAATAAAAAAATGTAAAGTTGGAAGATGCATATAGTCCCTGTACCAAGGTAATTGGTGAGGAATCGGCCATCGTTGCACAGGTTTTTAGGGAAAGGTGGTATGATATGATTCCTTTCGAGAGTTTGCTAAAGACTTCGTAGCATTCCCTGTATCACAATTGATTTAAACAGTATAAAAACCAAAGAAGATGGAAGTATGCCCAAATCAATCGATCAAATACTTGTTGATTCCAAAAAATATCGATTTGGGATCCAAAAGAACTGGACAAATCCAAACTCTTTACAATGACTCACATTTTCTTCATTTAAACACATTTTCAGGAGGTTCAAAGGGAAATGTCAACAAAATGAACGACATCACAATTCTCAAACTAAATTAAAAGGCATAATTCATAAATAAACTAGAAGATAACGTTTGAACCCGTGAATAATTGAATGTACCAAGTTCTGATAACTCGTGGCTGCTTCACAAATTCATAAATATAGTTGGCATCTTAAATCAAGAAAAGATGAAATAGCGTTAAAAGTCTTTCGACGTTTCTTTTTATTCCATGCACAATAAACGAGTCACAAAGCCTTAGTAAATCGAAGGAAAGAGACAGAGTTGTAGTATACCAGCAAAACTCATGCTTTGTAGCCTCTGTTTACCCTATTGAATCTCGAGTGATGACTACTTTAAGCTCTTCATTTCCCATATCTTCTCTTTGTTCTTTCAGAATATCCATAGCAGAGTTTGCGATAGATTCTGAGCTCCGATGTACCTTAATCATCTGTAAGGTCGAAATATAACCTAAACTGGAAGGGATCTTATTCAAACAGTAGCAATTTCGCAACACTAATCGTTCTAGTTTGGGGTAATCATCACTTGTGGGATTCCATTCTGCACAGGCATACTGGCTTGCAATTCTCACACTACTTAGCTCGAAGAATTTGAGTTTTTGGAATTCACCTTCTTCTGTGTCCCATTGCTTTTCCTTGAAGAAACCACTACGTAATTTGAGAATCTCTAAGTTCGGCAATCTTCCAATCATCCGAATTTTTTCCCACGACAAATCAATATACAATAGGGTCAATTTTTTGAGATTCAAGGGAAAATCAGGACCTGAATCTCTCATAAAACTGATGTTGAGAGATTCGAGTTGATCGAGGAATTGGAAAGGACATTGAGACACAAACTTGCATTTCAATTTGCGGAGATTGGGAGCACATCCCAAAACTTTTGCATCCATTTTATTACAAATCAAAAGTAGAGAAATAGATTGGAGGTTATTTATTTGGAAGCTCCCATCCGTAGTTGCTCTTAAATGAGAAGATTCACTGAAGCGTGCACCACCTCCAAAATGCAGACGTTTCAAATGCTTCATGTTAAGAACAAAATCAGGTATTTCAACTTCATCTCTGTTCTTCACGTGAAGATATTCTAGTCTGTGGAGTTTTTCTATTAATGGCAATTTAAGTTTTTGTCGAACTGCCAAGTACCTCAAGTGAACCATGTTTTCAATTCCTACACTTACATCTTCAAAATAAGAAAAATATTGCCCTGACGAATCCATGACCCTGCAGCCTAACTGAGAGTGAACATATGGATCAAATGGTCTTGGGAAACAAAGACGCCGCATTTCCAAGATACTCTTATCTTTCTTATATTTCGAATACCCGCTGAAGAACAAATGTGGTGACAACAAAATCACATCCAATCATCATCAGAAACAAAAACATAGTTAGTGTGACCATCAAAGATAGTTACATTATTAATAATCCAAATAGAAATAGAAGAAAGTGAACGAGGAAAGAAGGGAGACAAAGAACTTACGTTTCAATCCCTCCCGTAAAGTTTTCTTCTTTAGCTATCCTCAAGCATATCTCATGCAATAGATCATGAATCATGCAAATTTTGGCTCCACCATTTGATCTTTCTTCAGCAACTAGTACCAGACCCCTATTAATTAGATCCATTAGATAATAGTGTGCCACATCCTCTGAGCTCCTGTTGTTTTCTTTGTTTATAAACCCTGCAGCAACCCATAGAGATATCAACTTCCGTACCGGCATTACTTCGTCTTCTTCAAATGCTCCAAAGTATAGAAAACAAGGTTTCAGATGAACTGGTAAATGTTGGTAACTAAGTTTCAGTATGTCGATGCAATTATTTGTGCTGTCAAATATGTGTTCATTTAAATGCCCCGCTATTTTTCCCCATGAGCTCTCTTTCTTCTGCATATTTGCAAGAATGGAAGATATCGTAATGACTGACAGAGGTACACCACGACATTTTGCGGCAATATGCTTACCAATCTCTAGAAATTCTGGAGGGCAAGGTTCTCCTTGGAACACTTTCCGCCGTAATAATTCCCAACATTCAGCATCTGATAGGAAAGGAAGTTCATTAACAACATCACTGAAGCCTAATTCTCTGTTTCGAGATGTGAATAAGATTCTACTTCCTGTTCTATCATCTGGAAAATATCTTTTCAAATCGTCCCATGGTTTCATGTCCCATACATCATCCATGACAAGGAGGTATCTCATTCCTTTTAAACTTTTGTAAAGCATTTCAGCCAAATTTTCTTCCTCCATTTCTGTGATTGTTTCTCTATTATGGTTTCTTGTCGATGTCAAAATGTCAATCAATACATTTTTCTTCTTATATGTTTGAGAAACCACACACCACGCACATTTGTCGAAATAATAGACAATGGAAGGATCATTGAACAATTTCTTTGCTAAAGTATTCTTACCAAGTCCAGGCATTCCAACAATGGAAATAATTTGTTGCTTTAGTGGTCCACTGGTGAGTTGATCAGCAATTTTGGTTTTCTCATCCTTGAAACCGACAAAATCGTCGTCCAAATTGTCAAGTTCTTTAGCTTGAGGCTGTACTTGCTCACATGGATATCGTTCTTCGGGTATTCCAGCGTCAATATTACTGCTCCTCGTTTTTGTATTGCCATCTTAACAAGATGAATCTTCTCCAGGAGTTGAGAAAGCCTGGGGGTGAGATACCAGACAGGAGTAATTGAGTTGATAACATATGAAATTTCATATAATATAAGTCTCTGGTTTTCATCGCAAGTTCCTCAAGTTGTAAGTGCCGTGCCACAACTATATAATTGAGGGTGGATCTCAACAACGATAGCTCCTCGTAGAGCATTATGATTTGATCCTTCACTGGGACAATCCTTTCAGCCTTATAATTGATCAAGTACTCGAGATCATCTAGGAGAGAATCCACAGTGAAGAACGAAACCACACTACGCTTTGTAGCGACACAACCTAGCAACTTTGAGACTGTGATGCAGTGCTCCTTGATCTTTGTTTTCAAGAGCTCAAACTTTTGTGAGAAATCAGAAAGAGAAAGACTCAATCGTCCAGTCGTCAGGACTCTATCATCACTTGCTGAGAATATTGAATATAAGAAATTTCCAGCCTCGTTGACAACAACTTCGATATCTGACAATATATTCTTGGTTGCGTCCAACTCAATGGGTAACGGTGCATCTCCAAGAAAGCTGATTAGAAATCCAAGTTCTGTCTGGAGGTTTTTGATTGAACCCTTGACTGGAACAATGAAATCTGGTTCAAGGGGCATTATTTCTTCTAAAAGTTGGAGTGTTGGATGAATTTTGTGAATAGTGACGCCGAAATAAGTATAATGATGGTGAAAAAGCCGAGACAAGAGTTGGACTCTTTGTCCTTAAGTCGAATTTGCCCCGCAATGGTGCCTACGGATTTTGGCAATCGACTCCCAAGATACAACGGCTACACTTGTGTTTGTAGCACTCCAAAACACAAGTACAACGAACCAAATTTAGGATTATGTACTCCAAGGATGAAATGAAAGAAAATTAAAATAAATGAAATGATTTTGATTTTGGATAGAAGAGAGGATGAGAGACGTTTTGCATATCAAATTGTGTGGAATAGGACATCCAAAGGGTCCTATTTATAGACCATGAAAGGGTGTGGACGAAATGGTTGAGGCCAAACCATGCACCCTTTCCAAACAATGCACCTTTATGAAAAGGTGTCTATTCACTAATGGTTGAGGCCAAACCATGCACCCTTTTCAAATAATGCACCTTTATGAAAAGGTGTCTATTCACTGATTTTCGTCCTTTTTCGTAATTTCTCATTCATCCGATATTGGTTTTCGAAATGTCAAATATACCCTTCAATACATGCAGAGAAATCAAAATTCTCTTTCGGGGGCGTTGCCCCCGACCCCCACGGGGGCGCTGCCCCCTCGACCCCCACGACCTGACCGGGTAGGTCGATCCCCGTTTGTGCGCCCCGAAGTGGCGAAGTGGCAAACAATTTTGTCTAAACGGATTGAGTCGAGCTTTTGAGTATTTGGCCGAAGTCGATACGAACTTTAATCGATTTTCAATTCTCGATTTATTTAACCAATATCCAACAATGAGAAAGTCGATAAACTCCACAACAAGTTCATTAGGATGGGGAGTAGGAGTAATCTTGGACATTTGCTGCTTTGGGATTGTGAAGACTACCCTCAGATCCTTCACAGATGATATCAGTAACTTAAAGAATTCTCTGTCTGCTTGAGGTTCAGAAGCCCCAAAATACATGCAACGGTATGCTGAATCCTCGAGATGATCTAGTAAATCAGTTTCAAAACGGGAAGCCCCAAAAAGCATGCAACAGAATTTTCTGTATGTTTTGTCATAACGGAAGCACAGTTTTTGCTTTTTCATATACGCAACGGCAACTGGAACAAGTAATCTCTGTCCAACAAATGTTTCAAATTTTTCATCTCCTTCAAGTGAATTTTTTAGGAGATTTCTGACTTTTGTATTTTCCGGAATACGTCTAAGAAATAAAGGGAGACCCATCTTTTCTTCAATTTCTTAGTATGAATCAGTGTCTATTTATGGAAAATTCTGGGGATGGACGAATTCCAGGGGAAGATATATGTATGATTGTATTCTACTCCAGAAAATATATTTATAACAAAAGTCCAATCTTCATCACAAACTCTAAACAACTAAATATTGAATTCACGGTTTCTCATAAGATTAATAATTATAGAATTTAAATATAAAATTGCCGATAACTGGAGACAGCGATGATTGTATTAAAGTAAAATGAAAGAAAAGGAGGTTTCAAATGAGAGAATCTTCCAATGTTCACACCATGCGGTATATATAGGTGTAATTAAGTAATTTCTGTTAGCCATTTTTCCCAAATAATAGAAATAAATAAACTATATGAAGGAGAAAAAACATAAAACAAAAATTTATGTGAACACATGGTTTTCAACTTTCACATTCAATAATTAGGTTTAAACTTATTAATTCAAAAGTCATGTCATAATTCAATTTTTTAATATTAATTTAGGCCTATTTTTAGACAATTTTGGATTGTTGCTCGGTAATTTTTTTATTCAATTTCTACTGTTTCTGGCAAAGAAATGACTACAGCCTGTCAAAAAAATTCTTTTGACTTTTAGCTTTCCCTCGTGTTGCGCCTAACACTCCCAACTAGTAAATCAAGTAAACAATCCCGCAGGCACATTCAAGTTGGTAGAACAATTACATTGGCGGGCTCACAAACCTAGCGTGGAAAGTTCGATTCCTGGAAGGCAGCATCTTAGAAGGGAAATTTATCTCGAAGGCAAGGTGCTGGAAGGCAGTGAGGAGAGCTCTTTTAGGGGAAGGAGTATAAGCCATGCAGGAACCTGGGAGCCAATAAGGACATAACCCGCGATTAACTTCCTCAAGCTAATGAGGAGCCGAAGACTTGAGGTCCAAGAATTAGTTTGGCGAAGTTGGGAAACCTGGGTATCAAAAAATGTAAACAAGGAAATGAGGGTAAAATTGGAAATTTTGATTTTTATATACCAAGAAAATATCTACAACGTGTGGACCCTCTTGATTTGACATGAAAATGCATTCTGATTCTCCATAATTAATGGCTCCCAAACATGTATGTCTACAGCGTGTGGACCCTCTCTCTCTCTCTCTCCACATGACCACATCCGTCCGACGACCGTCATTGGAAGCCTCCCAGTACCTTTTATATATATAAAAAGTTGAACCCCAACCTTAAGAGCCCCCACCGTCCGACCAGTAGAGTTTTGTGATCGAGGTAAATCGTTGGATGTGTCCCAATAGGGTAGGGAACAAAAGCTACCTATGCACTGCGCCTATAAGGAGTCTAATTTCATGTCTCAGGAATCGAACCCGCACACTACGACTGTCAGTAAAACGTGAGATAACCTCATCCTATCCTTTGTACCACTAAACAATGTCCCAAGGGGCTACCTTATATTCTCATACTTGGTGCAAATCGGTCAACAAGGGCTCCTTATTGTGGATATATCTCCTAGATATAACACCTGTTCCAAAAGTAATACATTACAGTATTCATTTTGTTGGGCAAACCTATACTTGTCTGTATTCTTCTAAAATGAAAGATATTGAATATTAAATACTAAACACAAGACTCAAATATAATTAAAAATTTATTTTGATAGAATTTAGAGAGCGAATGAATTAAAAATCAATTATTTGAAACTAATTTGAAATGAAGAAAATGGAATTAAGGTGTCATTTCGTATGGTCGAATCTTTCGAGGAGATCACTCAATTTTCTATCTTCGGAAATTTCTCTGAGAATTTCTTGACGGGGATCCATCTTTCTTCCTCAATTTCCACCTTTTCTTCAATTTTTGAGGTTGCTTTCAATTTCTTAGTATGAATCAGTGTCTCCTTATGGAAAATTCAGAGGATGGATGAATTGTAGGGGAAACTTTCTTGGTCATTACAAACTCTAAACTACTAAGACGTCATTTGGGAGAAATTTTGAAAATTGATTTTTTGACCGTTAGGAGAAAAGTGAGGGCCACCCGTGAAAGAATAAGTCAAAATTTACGGTTGAAATAATGAAATAACTGTCAAAAAATCAATTTTTTGGGGTGAAAAATCTCTCCCAAATGGCCCCTAAATATTGAAATAGGATTAATAATTATAGAATTTAAATATAGAATTGCAGACAACTGGAGACAGCGATGATTGTATTAAAATGAAATTAAAGAAAAGCATAGTTCAAATGAGGGAATCTTCCAATGTCACACCATGCAGTAGGTGTAATAAGTGATTTCTGTAAGCCCTTTTTTTTTTAAATAATAAAAATAAATCAATAAACTCATTGAAGGAGAAAAAACATAAAACAAAAATTTATGTGAACACATGGTTTTCAACTTTCACATTCAATAATTAGGTTTAAAGTTATTTATTCAAAAATATTAACAATAATATTCACTCTTTCTACTCCTCTCTACATAACAAACCATCTTTTCTCTATTTAACTTCGAGCCCACTCTCTCCAATCTCTCTGTCTCTCTCTCTCTCTCTAGATTTGTCTGACCACCGTCACCAGAAGCCTCCCACGACCTTCCCTTCTCATACCACGTGTAGATCGGGCAACGAGGGCTCCTCATTGTGGATCAATAAAAATCATGCATGGGCTCTCTCACCTCTCATATCACCTCTAATGTATGTAGCGGTTTGTTATTTGATACATGAGACAGTAAAAAGCTACTACATTAATACATCAAATAACAAATTGTCATATATATGTCACTTAGAACGACTAGTCCTTTTTATAAATAGCATTACTCTGGTTTCACACACAAATGTATGCAAATGAAAAGGCACGAACCAAGTTAAACCCCTCTTTGAAGTCATATTCCATGGACATATGTACAAATTATTTAAATCCAACATACAACACTTGAAATAAGTTTTGAGCATTAATGAATGCAAATGGAGACCCAATAAATGAAGAAACATGAATAAAATTCGTTTTACTACAAAGCACAATATTTTATGCAGTAGAAAATTTTTATACCATCTGAAAACTAACCTCCTATATATGCAATACGTGCATTTGATTCCTGAAATAAACTCACAAAAGCAATCTGATTATTGATCACCACATATTCATGTTTCACTTTCTGCGAGTTAAACCGTCATACTTATTGTAGGCTCAGTTTAATTTTAACACTTTGTGATGGAAGAAATAAATATGTCGAATTAAGAATGCAAGCATTATTAGAGGTTCATCGAATGTTTCTAAGTAGAATGTTAACAGTGATTCGTGCACAAAAATGAAGTATAAAATGAAGGAAAAAAGAAAAGAAATCCAGCTTTAGATTGTTAGATAATTTGGCGAATAACTTGCATTTTGGCATTTCGCTAATAAAAAACACTAGCACGCAATGACGATAAAACTGACACTTAAGGAAATGAAATAAAACGAGGTATGCAATTGCAAATCACCTTAAGATGGATTTAGTCTCCTACACTGGTGCTAACGGGATAAACTAGACGTATATCTCCTAAGTTATAACGCTTCTTTCAAAATTAATAGAGCATAATATTCATTTTGTTGGGCGAACCAACACTTGACCGTACTCTTCTAGAATGGAAAGTACTGAGTACTAAATATTAAACATAAAATTCAAATACAATTTAAAAATTATTTTGATAGAATTTAGAGAGAGAATGAATTAAAAATCAATTATTTGAAATTAATTTGAAGCGAAGAAAATGGAATTAGTAGGTTCCTATTTATAAATTTTCACGCGTCTTTTTGTATGGTCGCATCTTTCAACAGAAATTAATTTTAACGATTAGATATCACCAAATCAAATTTACTAATCTAGATAGCATCCTATCAAAAGGTCATACTCATTCCGAAACAATGTGATTATTTGATATGAGTCCTTTAGAATTAGAGTATGATGTCTAGTAATCACGCTCATTGAGGACTATAATTCACACATTTAAATCATATATATATATATATATATGAAACCATTAATTCCAATAGGACCATCTCCACATTTAGCATCCACAATGCATTCAATTCAAACATCACGGGCACTCTTGCATCACCATCCAATCAACTAATGAGAATAGACTTTGTCAACCTAGCACACCAACTTCCAATGATGATTGATGTGGACCTAAATCTTGTCCAACTTAATGTGTCAAATTTTGAACTTGAGGACACCTTAGAGTAAATCATGAGGGAAAACTCTAAATAAGTGATTCATTGTAATGAAAATGTTTTAGCCAACGTTGTAACAACACAATTTTTAAAGATTTGAATTGCTACCAAAATTTATAAAATATATATATATTTTTTTTTTTATGCAAAGCCAAAAATTTATATAGCATCGTAAAAATTATTATTATTATTATTATTTTTATTTATTTATTTTTTTTTTGGGTAATTTTATGCGGATTGCAATGTGACCAGCACGCTGAGTCCTCTTTTTTGTATGTTAACTTTATATTGGAGTTGTCATCTTTCTGACAAAATCCGTGTGATGGTGGAGGGGTTCGTTCTTATTTTTTAAGAATTTTTTTTTTCTTCAATGCAAAAGCCCTTACTTTTGACTCCAAGAATCATTGTACAGATTCATGCACCCCTCAAAAGTACCCTATACCGTATAATATTGCATAAGTGCACATCAATCTAGCATTTCCGTGAATAGTGAAAAAAATACTGTTCGCGTCTTTTTTTTTTTTTAATAGACCGTTCACACCGTGAACAGTAACATGGGGTACTTGGTCAATCGATTCACAGTAGACTGCTATTCCTACATTTTTTTTAGAAGGTTTTTGATCTATAACCGACCGATTTTATACCAATTCAAGATTTGTTGGACTGAATTGGTCGGTTCGATCTGATTTTCAAAACATTAATTATTACACCCTAAATATTTAATCAAAATAAATATTATAATCAATCATAAAACCCAAAAAAATAAAAAAAATTAAAAAAAATTGCGGTAGAGTGCCAACCCTATGCGGTTTAGATAATTTTTATTTTCTAGAATTTTGGACTAATCCACTATCGGTTCAGATATTATCAATAAGGAAATACTATGTTTTGACATTAAACTTTT